GGAGGCGGCGGCCGGGGTCAGGGTCCGGCTTCGGGTCGGGGCCCGGTGAGGCTCCAGGGAGACCGCCTCTCGCCGTCCGGGGCCTTTTACTGTGTGTTTCTGGCCTTCAGGGCTCTAGGCTTTTGTCGCGTTAAGAGAAACCCCCGCCCGGCTCGCCTGGCACAGACTCCCTCCTTTGGTCCCGCCAGTTCCCATGAGCCTGGGAGCCTGTGGGGACCCGGGCGGCAGCTTCACGGACGGACCTGCTAGCGCCTGGGGTCTGAGGTGTGTTCAGAAGCCGGGCTCCGCGACAACAAAGCCTAGCACCGTGAATAGGTGTGTGTGTGTGTGTGTGTGTGTGTGTGTGAATGCGTGTGTGCGCACGTGTGTGTGTGTGAATGCGCGTGTGTGTGAATGCGCGTGTGTGCGTGTGTGTGAATGCGCGTGTGTGCGTGTGCGTGCGAATGCGTGTGTGTGTGCGTGAATGTGTGTGTGTGAATGCGTGTGTGTGTGCGCGCGTGTGTGTGTGCGCGGGGACACAGCCATGCAGTCATGTTGAATGGAAGTGTTGGTTAAACACACGTCCTCACATAAGAAGTGCCATGTGAGTGCAATCTCCGGATTACATTGCAATGTGTGTGAATGTGTGTGTGCGTGCGTGTGTGTGAATGCGTGTGTGTGCGTGCGTGCGTGTGTGTGAATGTGTGTGTGCGTGTGTGTGTGAATGCGTGTGTGTGCGTGTGTGTGAATGTGTGCGTGTGTGCGTGAATGTGTGTGTGCACGCGTGTGTGTGAATGTGTGTGTGCGCATGTGCGTGTGTGTGAATGTGTGTGCGTGTGTGAGAATGTGTGTGTGTGTGCATGTGTGCGTGCGTGTGTGTGTGTGCACGTGTGTGTGCGTGGGGACACAGCCATGCAGTCATGTTGAATGGAAGTGTTGGTTAAACACACGTTCTCACATAAGAAGTGCCATGTGAGTGCAATCTCCGGATTACATTGCAAGCAGGCTGTGGGTGGCACGTCCTTGTCCAATGTCCGTCCGCGCTGGGTCTTGGGTTCAGGTCGGGCCTGTGGTGATGGTCACTGTGGGGGCAGCTTCTGCAGGTGCTCCCTCGGGTTCCTGCTTCAGACCCTCAGCTCTGCCTGAGGGCCCTGTGCTGGCTCCTGGGGGTGCTGGCTCCTGGGGGTGCTGGCTTCTGGGGGTGCTGGCTCCTGGGGGTGCTGGCTTCTGGGGTGGCGGGGAGAGGCCAGCCTGCTGGGGCTCTTTGCAAACGAGACCTGCTCTCCTGGGAATACGGGGCCTCCACTGACCTTGTTGGACGTTCTCTCCTCTTCCTCTCCACTGTCTCTGCCTCCTCTCTCCGCCTCCTCTCCCACCTCCTCTCCCACCCTCTGCAGAGCCGCCAACCAAATACCAAATCTCCCAGCCGGACGTGTATGTGGCCGCGCCCGGGGAGTCGCTAGAGTTGCGCTGCTGGCTGAGAGATGCCGCTCGGATCAGTTGGACTAAGGATGGGGTGCACTTGGGGCCCGACAATAGGACAGTGCTTATTGGGGAGTACTTGCAGATAAAGGGCGCCACGCCCCGGGACTCTGGCCTCTATGCTTGCACGGCTGCTAGGACAGTGGACAGTGAGACGGGCTACTTCATGGTGAATGTCACAGGTGAGTGGGCCTCGGGCCCCTGCTCTCTCTTCTCCGTAGCGTTTTCTGGGTAAAATTTAAAAGTTTATATATTTCTATTGATTTCAGAGAGGAAGGGAGAGGGAGAGAGAGAGAGAAACATCCATGATGAGAGAGAATCACGGATCGACTGCCTCCTGCACGGCCCACACTGGGGATCGAGCCGCCACCCGGGCCTGTGGCCTGACCGGGAATCGCACCCTGACCTCCTGGTTCCTAGGTCGGCGCTCAGCCACTGAGCCACGCGGCCCACGGGCTCTGGGTAACGTTTTATTGGGCAAGTGGCACCGCGGTGGGACCTGCTTGTGGGTCCAGGCACAGAGCTTCCGTTTGGCTATTCGCCTGCTTTTGAAATTCTTTCTGGGGACCAGGGAGGCTGGTCATTAAAAACGACAGATTCTCATCCTGTCCGATGTTGCTCAGTGGTTAGAGCGTGGGCCCGTGGACTGAAGCGTCCCGGGTTTGATCCCGTGCCCTGGTCAGGGCGCATGCGGGAGGCAGCCAATCGATGTGTCTCTCTCCCTCCTTCCTCTCATTAAAAAATCAATGGAAAAATATCCTCAGGTGAGGATTAACAACAGCAGCATGAGAAATTTGGATGCTGATGTTTTCTGTTTCATTTTCTCAAACTTTGAGTGTCTCTCCTGGATTTTTCTCTCCTGCAGTGAGTGGGCGGGGGTGGGGGGGCTGCTGGGCCTGCTCCATGGCCGATTTAAAGTTCTGTTTTCAGCCCTGGCCGGTGTGGCTCAGTGAGTAGAGCGTCGGCCTGCGGACTGAAGGGTCCCAGGTTCGATTCCCGATCAGGGCACAGGCCTGGGTTGCGGGCTCGATCCCCAGTGTGGGGCGTGCAGGAGGCAGCTGATCAATGATTCTCTCTCATCATTGATGTTTCTCTCTCTCCCTCTCCCTTCCTCTCTGAAATCAATAAAAATATATTTAAAAAATAAAAAAAACAAGTTCTGTTTTCAGAATGTTAGGGAACGGGCGAAGGCCACAGGGAGGCTGCGTTTCTAGGGACGAATCCCTTCCCGGGGGCCCGGAGCGCTGCCAGGCTTTGCTGGGAAGCATCTGTGGGTTGAGGGAGTCGGTGAATTTGCTGGGGTCGCGAATACCATTTGAATCTTAAAAATCCAGCTTCCCAGGCCCAGTTTTCTACTCGTGTGACGAGTGCGAAAGCAGAAGGCCCCGGGGACCGGGGGACAGACCGACCCCGGGAGAGAGCAGTGGGGCCGTGGAGACCGCCTCG